GGTACTCTTTCTGGATCCTGGCCAGTCAAAATCCTTTAATTTCAGGATCCTTCCCTTCCTGACCAGTAGGATGGTCTGATGTAATGGGGCAGGGATGGTTATGCAGTTGATCACTTCAGTGAAGACTGATGGTGCTAGTAAATCATAGAAGTGCACTTCTATGAAGGAGGAGATAGCAAGGCTGGCATTACAGCAGCTGTAAACAAAATGGTTGGATCTATGTAGCCAAATGTTGTTTACAAGTTTTCAGTGGGTATGGTCCTAAAACTAGCAGTAGAGGAAAAAGTTTTAATGCCTCTACCAGAAAAAAACCATAAATCAATAACTATAATATTAGTTTATATAGAAACATACCTTGCTTTTCCATTTGAAGTTCTGAAATCATTCTCTTGCCTGAGCTGTTTGTTAATGTGTGCTTTCTAGATTACTTCGTTGTCTTCTTGATTTTCTTTTCAAGTTTTACCTGTTATTGTTTGACATGTTTAAAAAGCATCTCTCCAGACAGCTGTCCCTGTGACAAATGGCTGGCAAAAGAAGAGCTAGTAAACTTTATAGGATTTCATTCTTTAGAGCACTTCTAAAATACGAAAGAAAAAGGTTGGCCAGATAATTTGAATTTATTTTCCACCAGCCATAATATGCAATTATTTTTTTTCTCTCTGCTGTAAAAATAAAGTATGTTTCTCATTGTAACTTTATTGCAGAGGTTTTATTACAGCTACAGCAGCTGAAAAGTAATTAAGTTTAGCAGTTGGAAATGGACTTTTCACCAGATATGAAATAAATTCAACAATTTCTCACATTTAACTCATTGAAAAATGTGGGGAAGAGAAATACTCTGCTAAATATTTAAAGTTTCCTCAGAAAAACATATCTTATGATCTATAACAATGTTTTTCAAACTTGGCAACTTTTAAGATCTGTGGGCTTCAGCTCCCAGAATTCCCGTTGGGCTAGAAAGTTGAAGTTCCAATGTTAAAGTTGCCAAATTTAGATAGAGTCAAGATTATGACAAGTATTACCACTGTACAAAACCTTAGTAAGACCATATCTGGAGTACTGCATTCAGTTTTGGTCACCATATTATAAAAAAGATGTTGAGACTTTGGAAAAAGTGCAGAAAAGAGTGTCAGTCTGTGCTCCATTCAAAATCCAAGAAAGAAATACTTAGACTCCATAGATTAGAGCAAAGATAACTTTTACTGAAATTCGAAGTGGAAGCTACAGGTAGAATTCTGAATCTAAGGAATTAGGCGCGCAGATCACATATACAAAGGGATGGAATTGTTCCCACCCCACAAAGTCCAAAAGATTCTTCCAATTAAAAGTTCTGAATATGATCATGTGGGCATCTTCAGGTGGTGATGAGGCCTCTGTCCGTTGACCTTGACATATTTTGATAAAGATTCGTAGCTGCGCAAAGGAAAGAAAGCTAAGCAAGGAAATAGAAACTTAAGAGCAGGAATTTATACTCCCTCCCCCACTCCTCATTTATACAACACAAGAATGTAACACCTCCAGCTCTCTTCCCAGACTCAACCCCTCCTCTCCCCCCCCCCCCCTTACTCATGGCAGCCGAAAGATGCAAAGCAGTAGAAAAGTAGAAAAGATCTTGAAGGCTGACATTGAGCAACTAAGATGATTAAGGGTCTGGAGACTAAAATATATGAAGAACAGTTGGAGGATTTGGGGTTGGCTAGTCTAGAAAAAAGAAGGACTAGCGGGGACATGATAGCAGGGTTCCAATATTTGAGGGGCTGCTACAAAGAAGAGGGAGTCAAGCTATTCCCCAAAGCTCTTGAGAGCAGGACAGGAAGCAATGGATGGAAACTAATCAAGGAGAAAAGCAACTAGAATTAAGGAGAAACTTCCTAACAGGGAGAAAAATTAACAAGTGGAATAGTTTTGGAGGCTTTAAAGAAAAGACTGGGCAACCATTTGTCTGAAATGGTATAGGGTTTCCTGTTTGAACAGGGGGTTGGCTAGATGACCTCAAAGGTACCTTCCAACTTTGTTATTCTGTAGCTTTGAAAAGCACTGATCTATAATATGGAATGGTTTTAGAAAGGTGTAGTACAGCCCAGTTAACTCAATATATACATGAAATACATTGCAATATTTGGAGGTATTGAACTACGTCACGAGTTCCTCAAAGAAGCCAAACAACACAAAGCAAAATCCATTGAGCGCTATCTAGTTTAAAACTCACAGCATGGTATGGCATTCCTCTTGCAGTCTGGAGAGAACCCCATGGGGCAGTTGAGAAGGAAAGCCACACAGTGTGTAGCACTAAAATCTAAAGAGCTGAACCCCAGGAAAAACATTCATCCGATAAAAATATGCTTGAGTAGGCATGGCTCCTCTTTAACTGCAAATTCAGATTGAGCTTGCTAACCTAGGAGGCAAAATGCTATGCAGCCGAACCAAATTGAACATTATTACTTTGGGACTGAATGTAAAATGGATTTGGGGGGTGGGGTGGGGAATGAGTGTTACATTCTTTATGCAGAGAGATCTAAGTGACATCACACTGTGAGACCGAAATTGCAAATGCTTCAGTTCTCAATCATAGAGAAAGCACAGACTAAGCTATAATTTTTGGCCTTGGCAAAATCAAACTGCTTCAGTACCACATTTGACAGAACTTTGTAGTAACTTAATTCATCTCTATGCCAGTCATTAATACAATCTATTTGTAGAAAGCTTTGCAGAGGCAGTCTGGTTTTGTGGCGTTAAACAGATGGTTTTTAAATTGGGTCTGCCTTCAGTTTTTCTAAGCTTTGCGTTCACTTACTATGGTTTTCTTTTCCTTTGTTCCTTAAATATTGAGGGTAAAATCCAAGCACTTGTGGCCTGGGATGAAGTGCTGTTGAAGTCAGTGGGTTTTAATTTCTGTGTAGATATGGCAAACCTACTTAAATTAATAAATAAATATATAAATACATGCTAGGTTCGAATACATTAGTCACCATCTCTTAAAATGATGGGCAAATGCAAGTAAAAGTTTTCTTTGTTAGTAAAATCCCTGCTGAGCAGAATGGTGCCTATTTCTAGTTCCAACGACTTATTGGTAGATCTTTCAAACTTAATAGAATTCTGCTTGATTATTCATTTTCATACAACAGGATTAGTCTCAGCTGGAAATCAAGTTTTATACACACACACACACACACACACACACACACACACACACACACAAACTTGATACCCATGCTTTACTATGAATCTATGTGGTCGGGCTTAGTTTTTGGGGATGAAAATAAGGGGGGGAAATTCTGCCTTTGCCTACCAGCATCCATCAGTATTCATCTGGCTAGCATCCTGTCAGTGTGTGAGAGAGTTGAGGGCTGTTTGGAAACTGAAACCGTATTTGCTGTGTGACCAAGAAGGAGACAGCAAGGAGCCTGGACGTGGCTTCGCTCAACTGTTCTGTACTAAAGCTGCTTGGTGCTGTAAAACTGAAACTCCTCTGTTTATGTTTTGCATTTGGAACAGGTTTCTTTTCAGGTGGGGAAGGAGAGTAGAACTCCTTAGCATCAGAGAGCATTAATAATAATATACAAAATACTAATGCTCTGATGGTCATTTCAGAAAATCCTTTCTTAGTGAGCACCTAGAAGCCAAGAGGAAAATACGTGCCAAATTTCAAGTTTGTAGGCTTTATGGTTCTGGAGATTTTGTGATTGGTGCGTGATTGGTATTTCGCTTTTATTTATATATAGAAGATTGGCAAAGTTATCTGCAGAGCTGGTAGGGCTTCCCCCATCCCACCCCATGGCTCCATCTAGTTAATCCTTCCAAGATGTAAGCATCGTTCTAGTCATAAACTCCAGTGAGTTTCTCCTGAAAAGAGGCAGTGTGGGTAACACAAAGTTTTGCTCCCATGTTTAAAACCAGTTCCTGCAGTAGGGATCATTCTGTATCCCTTATATATCAGAGGTGTCAAACTCACATCATCATGGCGGCGTCACGTGACTTATTGGGACTTCCCCCCCCTTAGCTAAACAGGGTGTGGGCGTGGCCAGCGCATGACACATCCGGCCTGTAGGCCGGGAGTTTGACAGCCTTGCTCTATATATTCTCTGCATGATTTAAGAACTCTGGAAAAGGAAGGGCTAAACTTTTGCAAAGACCCTTCATGGGTAATTAAAGAATTTCCCAGGTACTTATTTATTCCACAATAATGGAAAGGTGCATGCTAGGGGGTTAAATCAACAGTGTGGAATGTATTGCTTTCTAAATATTATTAAATGTTAGTTCTTAGCCTGCATGGCTAGTAGTGAGGCAACCTGGTTAGATCAGTAGGATTTGACTGGCAAAGGGTTTTCTATCTCTGAATTGGCTATGGTTTATCATATCCTTTCCCCCACTTTTTTTTGTGCCCTCGTTGACTCCTGGCAACTTCCTGGACTAATCCCTACAGTTTTCTTGGCAAGGTTTCAGAAGTGGTTTGTCACTGCCTGTTTCCTGGGGTTAAGAGAGCATGACTACTAAGGTCACTCAGCTGGCTTCATCTCTAAGGGGGGTGGGACTAGAACTCACAGTCTCTTGGTTTTCCTTAACCACAATTCCAAACTGCCTCTCGTATCATCTTCATATGGCCTCTTTACTACCTGATCAGAACCTGTGTTTTGCTTATTTTCACTGCTCTTATTCCTGTAGCCCCTATACTGATATAAGCTTGCTAACAGGGAAATATCTTTTTAAGGAAGAAGATGTGCTCTTTTATTCCAATTAGGCATCGAAGTTGCAGCCTACAGTTGGGAAATCAAGATAGGCCCAAAGACGCTCTTCTTCTTTGACTGTCTCTTAACTCATTCTCTTTCTAGACAATGGCTATCGGCCATTAATCTAGAGCTTTCTACCTTGATTTGGCACTGAGCGATAGACTTTTCTGCTGTCCTGCCTACCGCCATTTCCTCAATTAAAATTCACAGTGTGTAGCCCAAACAAGCAGCGCTGTTGACAGTTTATTCCCCCCCCCCCATCTCTTTTCACAGAAACTGAAACAGAAGAATCAACAGCTGAAGCAAATCATGGATCAATTGAGGAATCTCATTTGGGACATAAATGCCATGTTGGCAATGAGGAACTGAATACGTTTTCTTTCTATCTCATTATGATATTTGATGTTATTTGTTACAGAAGAATAACTTTTTAAAGAAGACCATGGGCGTTCAATTGTACTTTAAATAATCATATATATATGTTTGTTATACTTTGGTTATGTATATTTAAGCCTTGAAGTTCTAGGCAATGAATAAATTCAATGTAAGCTTTAATTTTCAGATCCAGGATGGACAACTTTTATTTTTGAGGTTTGGGCAACTGTTTCTTTCATATGAAAATAGTATAAAGTTTATTTCATGAAGAAAATGGTGTGATTGCTTATTGTACCCTATAGCTATTATTAAGTGTTGTACCTTATGATTCTTGACTCTTGATGAACGTATCTTTTCTTTTTTGTACACTGAGAGCATTTGCACCAAGACAAATTCCTTGTGTGTCCAATCACACTTGTCCAATAAAGGATTCTATTCTATTCTAAAACAAACAAACAAACCCAAAGAATAGTTTGTCCTAGAGAATGTGTGCTTGTTCTCAACAAGAAGTGAGCTGGAACAAATCATGTAATTCTGATTTCATCTTCATACACTGCTAGAATGCACCAATCTGCATGACCAACTTAACTGCTGATGATTGAAAGCCTAGCACTCAAACAGGAAAGAGGAAAATGTCATTGAAAGTTTTAGCAGAATGGAGAATGTTTTATTTTTAGCAATGGTGAATATGATTTGAATTTTGTCTTAATTTAAAATAATTTCCAACGGTTGCAATCTTTCTTTGTTGCAACTAAAATGGGCAAATGAACACGAGAGCACAACTTATTTAAGGACTTCAGAATTATAGAGGCCAGCCATGTTGCATCACCCATGGGATCAGAACACGACAGCAGAGGCTGCCTCCCCACCTCCCCTTTTATCCTCTCTTCCCCAAGATGGTCAGAAACCTTTCAGAAAAAAATACTAGCCTCTCATCAACCTACCACCTTAACGTTGTAAAAATGATTTTTTTTTTCATTACAGTTGATTAATGACATCCTGCCTGACCTTAATAAATACATTCAAGATTGCCTTCTTAATTGGATGCCTTTTAAAGTGCCTAACACTATTTTGGTAGAACTTTCTGGAAATGGAATGTCTTTGATATATTTTTTAATGCATTGAGCCCTTTTCACCTAATGGGAAAAATATTGCTATGTATCTTTTACCGTGATTCTGTTGGTTTTTCTTTTTCTTTTTGGTCCTTTCTAATAACTTTCTTTCAGGCGTCTAAACCAGCTAGAATGCTTCCTTTTAAAGTGTGGTTAGATCAGAAACTGATCTTCTTTTGACTGGTGAGATATAGAGACTGAAAACTAGTTGGACAGTACAAGTGTGGCATGGAGATCATCTCACTGTTTTCCCTTGTTACCAAAACCCCAAGTTTATTGACTTATGGAATGTAGGAATTCCATTCATGTGTCCTCCATTTGTTGGAACTCATAATTCATTGAGATGCTGTTCTGCATGTGTTGGGGTCCAATCACTGCCCTCCCTAAGTAGCTGTCAAGGATGGTGGGAAATATAGTCTTGTCCCTGTGGAATGCACCAAGTTGAAGCAAACCAAACGCCAGCTATTGTGTATCAGGCGCTGTGATTTGTACCGATGCTTTCACAGCCTAAGAAGCCAAGCAGTTAATTTGCCAAGACAAACCTTTTATCTTGTTTGGGGGTGAAAACTGGCAGCTGATATATTTCTTCAGTTGTTTAAAACAGATGGTGTGATCAGGGAAAAAATTCCCTCTATTTGCAACTAAAGTATATACAAATCAAGCTGTCTGGATGCTATGCCTGGAAGTGCTGTGGGAATTTGTAAACAAACCCTCTTGACAACTAATTTTATGGAATCTGAAACGGCTAAGGAAGTAATGAAACAGCAGACAAAAATAAATGATTCTTTTAAAATTGCCATTAGGTAACTTGCTATTTAAGCCTACAATTATTTACTCAGAATTAAGCCTCCCTGATTCTGGTGGGATTACACCTAGAGAAAGTGTGCTGGTTTGGGACGACTTTCATATTTATTCACTTTTAATAGGATGTAGAAAGAAAGAAAGAATCACCTAGGGCAGAACTCAAAATGTTAATAAAGCACTGCACTGCAAGGTTTTGGATTTATAGCAGCATAACTAGGAGCAGAATTTGACTTCATTTGTTTATTCATAAGGCACAGATCTTACTAGACAAAGAGCTATGCATTTCCACCTAGTCATTTTATGTTTCAAATGCTAACGGGATAAGCTTGCACAAAGAGCATAATATATCTGGAACAAGTGCATCCATTTATTTGTTTGTTTCATCTATACTCTTCCTTTTCCCTCCAGGCAACATTCGTTTTGTAGTTTTCCCTATGACACCCATTCTGTGGGTTCCGCTAGCCAAGAGCAAGTGACTAGTTCATTCACCCAGTGAGCTTCCATAGCCCAAAGTGGATTTGATTCTGGTTTTTTCCAGACCATGTACAACACCTCCATCCCTATCTCACTCTGGCTCTCAACATCCCTTCTTACGCAACAAAGGGGCTCGTTAATGAAGAATTCTAGGCCTTGTGATTTGAATCAACGCAATGATTATGAATAATGAAATGTTTCATTGCAAACAATCAAGCTCAGAGGGCTATGTAAAATCCAGATTTTTATAGCCCCCTGAGCTTGATGGTTTGCTTTCTAAGGTATCCTTATCCAACTGGGTAACTAGGTAACTTCATCAGCACTTAGGATGTTGCCTAGTCAGGTAATGACTCATCTATAAGTAAAAACCCAAACTCAAGAGAGCACCCAGGACCCCACAATTTCAACTTCTATTCAACAAATGAAGCTAAAGACATAAGTGTCTGTATTTTGTATTAATTTTACCTATGGATATCTAAAAACAATACTTCGGGTCAGTAGTAAACAGTTACAAAAGAATGGATAATTTGTGGGCTCATGACCTGTAATTCAATCCGTCATTTATGCCAAATGTGCAATAATGCAATCTGATGAATGCGTCTTCAGTTATTAAACTCAGTGGGTCTTGTTTTCAGGTAAGTCTTGTAAGATTACAACCTTAAGTTATGATCTGGACTTTTTTCTCCAGAAACTTTTTCTTTTCTTAATGTATGAGGTTTTGTGGCAATTGGGATATAGCATCTGACTGACAGCACTAGCCTCTATCCCTCTCTGTAAAACTTGAAGGCTAAGACCTATGGAAATTCCTCTGATTGGTTCTAAGCCCTTCTGGATGCTGCCATCAAATCAATCTCCCTAAGCCTTACAGATAGTGGACAGTCTGCTTTAAGGCGAAGAATATCGTTTCTGAAGGCAATTATTCACACAGGCAAGCTATTTACCAAATAGCAGCTGCAACAGTGATGGGATTCAAAAAAATTTACTACCAGTTCTGTGGGCCTGGCTTAGTGGGCATGGCGTGGCTTGGTGAGCGTGTCTTAGTGGGAGTGGCAGGGGAAGGATACTGTAAAACTCCATTCCCTCCCCACCCCACTAACCTGCTTTCCAGCTCTGTTCTCCTGTGCAGGGCAACAAAAGAAGACCCAGCCGATCAGCTGGGATTCGGGAGGCACAGAATAGATAGGGGAGGGGCCAGTCAGGTGGTATTTGCCGGTTCTCCAAACTACTCAAAACTTCCGCTACTGGTTCTCCAGAACTGGTCAGAACCTGCTGAATACCACCTCTGAGCTACAACCAATGTTGAAGAGTTTCATACACATGTGGAAGTAGCCAAAGCAGGCCATTGGTTTCTTCAGAACTAACAGAGGACTGTTCTCAAACAAATGTAGGAAATGAATCTTATTTCCACACTCAAAATATAAGAGACCACAAAGGGCATGGTATAGGGTTTCCTGCTTGAACAGGGACTTGGATTAGAAGATCTCCAAAGTCTTTTCAAATTCTGTTATTCTATTATTCAGGCAGTCCATGCTAAGGACATTCTTGTCCAGGCTTTGTTTCCACCATGGCCAATTAACTGCCTAGGGAAAGCCCAAGAGCAGGATCTGACAGCAAGCTCTGCGTTCCCTAGCAACTGGTTATCAAGAAGCTTTCCCTGTTTGATGCTCGACATAACATATAGCCATTTTGAGAAGCAGTTATTGAAAGTTTTTTCCCCCTCCAAGAAATATATAAAGGTACTTCGCGAAGAGCCACTCCATGATTTTCCACTGAATGGCCCAGTTTTCTTAACATTTTAGACCAGCTAAATCTGACACTAACATGAAACAAGGGATGGGATTCTACCAGTTCGCACCTATTCTCTAGAACCGGTTGTTAACATTCTAAGCAGTTTGGAGAACTGGTTGTTAGAAGGAATTACTGGCCTAATCCTGTAAGGAAGGCAGGAAGGAAACATTCTGGTGTCGCTTACAGAAACTGCCTCTCCATTAACCCTTATTACATTCTTGGCAGGACTAGACTTCCTGTCTCAGGAACTTCTCTGGAGTTTTTTTTTCCCCTCCTTTGCTGGTACTTTACTTGTGTTGAGTGACCATTCAAAGTTACAATGGCACTGAAAAAAGTGACTTATGGCCATTTTTCACACTTACGACTGTTGCAGCATCCCCACAGTCATGAGAGGCCAGGCGAAGAGATGCATGCCTTGATGTGAGTGATATTGAGTTGGCCATGCTCAGCCAAAAACATGACCACCAAGCCACGCCCATCAACTAAGCCACACCCACAGAACCATTTGTTAAAAAATTTGAATCCCACCCCTGCATGAAACCCCCTTTTTTCCTATACTTAGGAAAGGATAAAAGGTGGCAGGAGTAGTGGGGGGACCCAGAACGAATCACGTAATTCAGAAGCTACACAGGAGACTAGATTCAGAAATGTTCCTAGATCTGAAAAGGTTGGAAATTACTGTCTACTGTTGAAAAGGAAGAGATGAAAATTCAAAGTAATTAACAGCATTTCCAGAGGGTTTTGCAATGTGCTTCATTGTCTAGTCAGATCTACGAAGTCATTGCAAGACTTACAAGGTACAAATTAGCTCCTGTACTGGTCAGTGGGATGCTGTCAGTACTGTTCAGTATAATTTTAAAACCTAAAATAGTTTTTGCTGCTTGTCTCAGACTATTAACACCACTGTCATTGCAACAAAGCTGTCCATCTCTCTATGTCCCAATGCATTTCTTCTGCAGAAAAGGATGTTTTCTCTTGGTGCATCTAGATTTTAGATGCTCCAGTCCCTTCGAACTAAAGAGTGAGAAGGTGACAGGCTCAACTGATGACAATTTCAAAAAGCAATGTTGTCTTTTCCTTCAGCTGGTCTGCTTTTTTGTTGTTGTATCATACAAATTCCCCTGTTGCTGGGTTAATGGGATATGACAGAAAGCATGTCATGAATTATTAGGAAAAAAAGAGTCTAGTCCTGAACTTCTTTATTTTTATCTCTATTCTGTTTTCCCTTCTTCTTGACTTGGGTTCATTCCTTTAAAAAAAAACACCAGATATTTCTTAAAAAGTTAGAAATGGCTTAGTTCAGTTTGGATCTTTAAGAGGATCCTGGTGGCATACACATCTCTTACCACCACCTCCTCATCCCTGACAGATACAGATTAACAGAGTTGTTGGTCATCTAGTCCAACTCCCCACCCCAGCATAAGACCCTACACTATTTCTGACAATTGGCAGTCCAATCTCTTCTTGAAGGTCTCAAGTGATGAAGCTCCCACAACTTCTGAAGCTAGCTGTTCCATTGATTGATAGTTCTTACTATCAGAAAAATTCTCCTTATTTCTAGGTTGAATCTCTCCTTGATCAGTTTCCATCCATTAAGTCTTGTCTGACCTTCAAGTGCCTTGGAAAATGGCTTGACCCCTTCCTTTCTGTGGCAGCTCCTCAAATATTGGAACACTGCTATCATGTCTCCCCTGGTCTTTCTCTTCACTAGACTAGCCAAGCCCAGTTCCTGTAACTGTTCTTCATATGTTTTAACCTCCAGTCCCCTAATCATCCTGGTTGCTCTTCTCTGCACTTTTTCTAGAGCCTCAGCAACATTTTTTATAGCGTGGTGATCAAAACCAGTACTCTAGGTGTGGTCTTGCTGTTGTCTGACACATGATTTGCTAGGCTGAAAAGATACCTACATGGTTTCTTTCTTGTCTGATCTTTCAAGACGCTGGTTGGATTTTACA